AAAGGAAAGACCGAGATTGCGCTAGTCCGTAAGTAAATCTGTTTAAATTGACAATATGTTAGTGTGTACACGTGTTGCGAAACCACCAGTCCGAACCCATCAATTTGGGTTATTAAGGTTGAATGGCCTAAGGGGAGGCTTGGCTGGGATTGGGTAGCCCCGCACGTCTGTTTTGGCAGATGAACTTGACATGTCTGATAAATCTCTCTCCTTCAATCTTTCAATTAAGCATAAGTAATTGTTTCTCAATTTTATACCACCGTTTCCCACATTAAACTTATTTACTATTCTATTAATTTCAGTAACCTCTCTTATCTTAGGCGTCGTAGCAGACATAGCATAATGAGCAAACCTCTGAATAGGAAATTATTATATCACATGCTCAGTCTGCGTCATGTATTCCGTCATTTCTGACCATTCGACCTAGCTGCTTTTACAAGCATTTTTGTGCTCCGCTAATCTTTGGCGGATCGCACACAAACTTAAAACAATCCGATCTTGAGAGTGGGTCATATTTCTCTCTAAAGCTCATCCGCTTGGATTTACGAGTGGTCCAAATACAGATCCTGTCTATGCACGGGTTTAGTTGGTCCGGAAGATGTTCTATTTGAGATGAACATCTCCGGACTTCGCAAGCTTACACAGCAGCACAAAGACGACCATAATTGGTCTTGTAAGATTTATTTCGTTTTGAGTAGGTTTTCGAGAAAACCTCATAGTGCTAAGATGTAGACAATCAAAGGCATGATAGATTTTTGTAAAATCCGACTAGATGTACAGCATCTGTTGTCAAACTGTAATGTTTCAGAACAGTAAGGGCGAAGGGGACGGCGGATACAGCTCCGAGTCAGACAGTGAGGAAGAGACAATGCTTCGCAGGATCGAGGAGTCCGAGCGAGTGAATGCCGACTCGGTGGTGATTCCAATCAACGTTGTGATCGGAGTTCTCGCTGTCTACATTTTGTTAGGAGCGTCGATCTTCAACAAATGGGAGCCCTGGAGCCTTGTGGACGGTGCTTATTTCGCTTTCGTCACGCTTGCCACAATCGGATTCGGGGATTTGGTGCCAGGAAATGGACGATTCGACCAGGTGAGACCAGTTAATGACCACTTTTAGGTTCAAACAGATCACCGGAAACTGGTTGTTATGGAGCAAGTATTGAGAGGTTGGTATATATGATGGACAGCTGTCATGAATTCATTTCACAGGAAAATTTTATCGGGAGGAATTTGTGTTTTGATGAGACATCGGGAGATAGTGAGCCGAG